CTTTTTGTTTTCTTTCTTATTTTGGTTAAATCATATTGAATCATTTTATTTAAAATAACATTGGTTATTTATATAATTTATATTACATTACATATGGAATATATCAATTACTCTATATTTTAATTTTATATATTTTGTTTCTTCTAGAATTCCAATAGAATATTTATTTTGTGATTGAACTTATGGATTTTAATAATTTAGTTTTGACATTTATTGGATTTTTAAAATATACTTTCATTTATTTAACTTTGTAATTCATGTAAGTTGTATTAAATATGAAAAAAGAATTATCTTCATACATTGATTTCTTTATGTTTGGCATCTAGCTAAGATGTTATTCGAGTCGAGCCAAATCGGATATCTCATGTTCGAACTTGTGATTATTTAATAAACAAACTTGATTAGGTTTTCAAGCTTAGCCTTTTGAAGTGTATGAAATAGTTGAGTTCGAGCTTTCACGAGCCGAAATGAGTTGTATTCGTGAATAGTTTGATTCGAATAATAGCTCAATGTTAAGCAGCCTCGGGTAAAAAAAATTCCTGGCTACGCCCTGGTTCCATATGCCCTGTTTCTTACAAGGTCAACTAAAACACAATTATATGTAGATTTATTATCTCGTTGACGTTGTTCTTCCTTTATGAACGAACTCTACACAAGTAGTACATATAGCAATGGGAAAGTCTATAAGTTTGGTGCACTCTTTAATTTGAGTAATGAATGCTAATGAAGGTTTAAGAACTAAGGCTCGACAATGCTGCAGTTTAAGACTAAATGATTATGGGTCTAGGACTCACTGCAATTAATATTGTTGACTTACATAATATTGGGTAATGGTTGACATGTGTTGTGTATATTTTTGTTAGTAATTTTTTATGGAGACGAGATTGTATTGGTCTTTTACAAACATGATGCCAAATTGACATCGTTGGTTTAATTAATTTCTTTAATTTAATTATATTATTATTAGCTCTAGTTTTGGTATGAAGTATTTTAATTATAGGAAATATATTTATTTTAGCGTTTTACTTGGTAGAAAAATTATTTGATTATTCTAGTCTTTTATTTGTTAGGAAAGTTTATGGTAAGTAGAGATTTCGTATGAGTCATAAGTTTATGGTAAATATGTCTCGTAGGAGTTATATTTAAGACTCTTATTCTATTGTTCGAAGACTTGATTAAGTTGATTTTGATTGAATTAGAATATTGAGTTCTATTTAATACTCTTATTTTATTATTTGGAGACTTGGTTGAGTTCATTTTGATTGAATAAAAATATATTGAGAGTTTTTTCTTTATTCTACTAATCGTTGTTAAATTTTATATACTATGGATAGTTTATTTGAATTTGGTTTTCAATTTTTTCGGTCCTCTATGTAGGTTTTGCTCGTTTGTGTGTTTTTGTACTATTTGCATATTTTCGTGCTTTTCTTGCATATTTTTATACTTTAATTTGTAGAAAAATGTTGCTCTGAGTACTTTTGTCGAGAATTTATTGGAACAAACTTCACACATCCCGAGGAACGCAAGCCGAGGCAGTCCTGTGGCCCGCAAACCTTGCTCCCACAACCCTGTCGTCCGCCAGCCTACGCCGACATCCCCCGACGCATGCCTGTAGTCGCCAAGGCTACTCATGCGACTTTCACCCTGGCAGCACGCTAGTCGCCTGCGAACGACTTATTTGAGTCTCCATCTGAGGCTCCAGGCTCGCGGTCGCGAAGCACCTCGCGATCGTGGGAATTTTGTTGTCGTGATCTAACTTTTTAAAATTTGAATTTTTTGAACGATTTATTGAGACTTGAGACTCGTGTCCCCTGAAACTTTGAAACTTTATTTTTTATTTTTTATTTTTACTTTTAAATATTATTATATTGGTTTTTGATCTTAGAGAGTGACTCTCCAAGGATCGAATTGAGGTTTGACTTGTATTCATGGATTAAAATCCAACATTAAATTAATTGTAAGTTTTCAGTTTCATTTTGCGGATGAATTTGTTTTATATGGTTGAATTGATTGTTCGTGTTATGTAAAACAGATGAGCTAAATTCATTTATTAAGGATAAATTCATTCATTAAAGATAAAAGACGATTGTTCTTGTTATTTTGTGACAATTGAGGAGTTTATCTTTTTCAAAAAATCATTTTGTTAGGGAGGATGTTCACAAAATAGAAAGAGATGGAGAGGGGGGTTATTTATGACAATGAACAATTGTTTGATACAAGTTCAATTAAGTTTCCAAATCATCATTGATATGCTGTTACATTTAATATCCGTATAATTACAAAAGTTTTCCAAATGATATGTAAGATGTGTAAATTAGTGAAGTATTACATGATACTATAATTGTCAATGGTGTAAATCCTCGTTTATCTTGACATTTACATTTTTCAATTAATTAATTAAGCATTGCCAACAGCCCGGCCAGTTGTCACCAAGTCCGGGCTATAAAATGGAGAATCTAAATCGACCCGCTGCATGAAGGCCCTAATACAAAAAACCCATAAATTTAGTTTATGGTCAAGTATATTTTATTTCTTTTTTTGGTCAATCGAGTCCAGTAATTCTGGTTCCTAGTCAAGTTAGGTGAATCTTGACCGTTGATCGTCCGTCCAGTACAAAATACAACAATTAAAGTTATGTTTACAGATCCAACAACTAAAAATTAAAATTTAGGTCAAATTTTATCTAATTTTAACTATTTAAACTAAAATTTCAAATCAATTTTATTATCTTTCTTTAGTATTATCAAATCCAACAGGAGGGCTAATTCCAAGTTGGTAACGGGCGCGCTCAATCTGCTTGCTCCTGAACTGGAGCACGTAACACCGAAGCCCGATCCAAACTGACCCGGAAACCTGAAAAACGGGTCGGATATGAAGCGGGATGGGTAGTCAACGGAGAAACCCGCCCGAAGTGGCAACTACATGTTAAAAGTGTCGAAAAAGGCGTATAAAATATATATATAAAAAAAACTGGAAATTAAAAATGATGAAAACAAAAAATCCTGCAATTCTCAAATCATGAAATACTATCATATTTACACTTTAACACAATTTTTTAACTAAAATCGAACAAAGTGATGATGATAAAAAGTTGGGGAAAATATAGCGATTTGTTCGAGGCCGTAATCAAAACGTATGATATAAATTTGAAAGGCACGGAGAATCGCTTGAATTTGGCCAACCTTCAATGCAAGAAATTCGTCATTGTTAATCGACGCACTTGCTCTGCAAATTGGCTTCAATCATCAACATTTTATATATTTATTTATTATGAAAACATAAAGATATCAAACAATGTATGCAGCTATCTGCGACTGCCAATAGTGTTGAAAAGTGGTTTTTGTTCCAGGAGCAATTGAGCAAGGGCTTTTATAAAGAAGAATTAGGGCAACCCATAAAGAAGCTCTATTCAACGTACTTGACTACTTTACCCTTTCTCCGATTTGTTATTTACAAAATTGCAGAGCCCCTCTTGAAAAACTGTAGGTCTGGCCCAAATCAATAAATAGGGCCGTATTGTTTTATTCAAAAAAAATCATAGGCAATTTACATATTACAAAAAAAATCATCACATTTATCAAAGTGAGGTTTATTCTTCCAAAAAATTCATGTAGATGTCTCTTATGAATGTTTTATTGTTAGAATAAATGTGATGAACGAGGGATGACTAGTATGACTTGAAGGAAGGTCTACTTCTCAGTGTAATCTAACTCCACAAATGTGAAATAACCTTGGATCAATGCTATTTTTCATATATAAAATAGATGAAGTGTCTTAATATTAATTAATAAAATAGATAAATATAAATCTATATATAATTCATAAAAAAAGGTAAAATAAAATAAACAATATATATATATAACACTATTGGTGGTGTGTGCGTGTGCATGTATATATATATGTATGTATTTTGTTTAATATACACATATGTATATGTAATAGATAACGGATAGCAATAAAATAAATAAATAATCAAGAAAATTAAGTGGATGTGTGTGTAGTGTGCGTGAGTTATCACTTATACTTACATATATCTTTTAACAAATATACTTACATATATCTTTTAACAAATAATATCGTGTTTTTGTGGAATGCAGAACTAAATAAGATCTTACTAAATTGCTAGATTGAACTCCATAAATCTCACTCTTAATTGCGATAATAATATAAAACAAATAAACAAAATAAAACAATGGCCTCATTCAACTTGTTTGCCACCGTACTCAAAGACACAAGCACATGGATCCAACAAGGGCGGTCCAGCGGTGGCAAAGTAACGGCGCATGGCAGGGGACGACATCGAAGAAGATTGATAAACATATTAGTGGGAGAAAGAAAGAAGACGATGAAAAATATTTACTTCTATGATGGGTTGTGAGCGAAAAAGAGTCATAGGGTGAAATGTATTTATACTAAATTATTGGGCCAATTTAAGAAGGTGAAATCAAAAGGATTTTTTCCTTGTGATTTGCTTATTTTTTATGGATATGTGTTTTGCTTATTTTTTTTTTTCTTGATGAAGTTTGTATTGAAAACTTGTATAGTTCTATGGGGTAGGTCTATACTTTCTTATTCTTTTGGAGTTGGTGACACTCTCATTATATTATTATGAGTTTTTTTACTTATTACCATTATTGTCATTTAAAAAGAAATGAATTTATGTAAATTATAAAGTTAAGCAATGATTTTGTATTTGTTTTTTTATATTTAACTTGAAGACTGATGAAAATTGTATTTTTTATTCCTGAATTAATTTAGAAGAAATGTAAATTCCTGCTTTAGATTGCCACAATTAAATATTTACACTTAAACCTTTTATAAATACTTATTTTTTATTTTAGAATTATAAATATTTTAACTCATTTCCTAATATACCCTTAAATTGCAATCCATCCAACTAAAAGTTTGTTGAAATTAATCTTTTCTTAATATTGAATCATAAATATTTTATCATATTTCCTAATATACCCTTCAATCCCTGGTAGCAAAAACCCTTCAGCTTAAACCCCATACAAGACAAGACTTCTTCAAAATCCTCACAATTTTCCAAAAACCCACAGCAGAAAATCGCAAGCGTTTCAGCATGGATCACGCAGCTGCTGCTGAAGAGAGCTTGGTGCACGAGAGGCTGAGGCAGAAGCTCAATGAGGTCAACGCCGCCGCCGAATTACACCTCGCCGGTGTAAAAGACCACATCAATTTCACCCTGCAGGTGAATTTTCCATTTGTTTCTTGGGTGTTTTTGTTTCATTTTTAATTTTTTCGGTGGTTTGCTGAATATCCTTGCTGTTTTGTACGTTTCCCCCCGCATTTTTTGTCTTGGCAGCAAGCGTATTTCAAGTGTGCGTACGAGTGTTTCGACCGGAGGAAGAACCAGAACGAGATAGAAAACTGCGTGGAGCATTGCAGTGTGCCCGTGTTGAATGCCCAGAATCTTGTCGAAAACGAAATGGCTAAATTTCAGGTAAATGGGTTTTATTTATTTATTTATTCCTGAAAAATTGTCTTCAGGGATGGTAAATGATTGGTTGTGTTTGTGTTTGGGTTCGTGTTTCGTAATGGATATGTAGGTTCCTACTGGCTGAATTATGATTGTTGCGTGATTTCTCTTTTATGCTGGTGTTCAATTTAATCTGGTGTTAATAGTTTTAGGCTTTGTTGTGAACTTCAGTCTGTGGGCGAGTGCTAAAAATGAAGTACTGTTTTACTGTTGCATTCTATCTATGGATATTCTTGAAGGTGCAGTTGTGTTTTCCTACAATTTGGTTCAATATTATTATTATTTTTTATTGTACATTGGCATTAGAGCACAATTTGTAGTTTTGAGGTACTATACTCCACATATTAGTGACAAATTTTATTTTTATGTAGAATAATGTGTATGTTAGGCTTGATATGTTTGTTGCCATTTTGGTTTCGTTTAGTTTCTCTCGATCTTCTGATTATTTTTCTCCCATTCGATATGTCTTGTCATTATTTTCGAAGCCTTTCTATTTTCTTGCATTTATGAATGATTAGAATGTGTTATTTATCAGAAGTGAGATCAATGTCGAGGAGATATTCTGAACTACTGCTTCTGATTTGAGATATTCTTCTCCAAGTTTAACTTCATTCACATAAATCATGATTTTTATATGATATATTGAAACCGGGATTCACGTGGCTCATTCTAAACTGATGATTGATTATTATCTAATAGGATTACGATAATAATGTGTGGATTTCGTGTTGTATAAGCATATGGAGCTACCATTTCTGGTAGCATATTGACATAGAATTTTGCTTCGTTGGTTTTAGCTTAATGCTGACACACAACATGCACTATCTCAAAAGTTACTGTATACTAAAGTGAAAGGAGTTGGTGAATCTTGTGCTTAATGATCTGTAATAAAGATTAAAGATGTAAAAATGTGAAAGGAAAATTGGAGTTTGAGCCTTTTGGCATGCATTATGGAAGTAAAGATTGCCTTGGAAAAAAAAAAATAAAGTTATATATGCAGTATATGGAACTCCAACAGATATCGTAAGAAGGTTAAGAATACATTGAGTTCTGGAAGAAAAGATTATGTGTGTACTGTATATATTTTTGTTCTGTTTAGGGAATGATATATTGATATTGCCTGTTCTCCCTCCATCTTCCTCTGATCATAGAAAACAGAAATGATAGGTTGTGTTTGTGTTTGTGTTTGGGTTTTGTAATGGAGATATAGACTATAGGCTGAATTGTGATTGTTGTGTGATTTCTCTTTTATGCTGGTGTTTGATTTAATCTGGTGTTAACAGTTTTAGGCTTTGTTGTGAGCTTCAATATGTCGGTGAGTGTTAAAAATGAACTACTGTTTTACTGTTGCATTCTATCTATGGATATTCTTGAAGGAACAGTCGAGTTTTCCTTGAATTTGGTTCAGTAGTTTTTTCTTTGTCATATATTGGCATTAGAGCACAATTTGGTAATCTAAAACACTTATCTTGATAGTGCACTGTAATTCCCTAAACCTTAAGTTGGTTTTGTTTAGTTTCTCTCGATATGTCTTGTCATTATTTTTGAAGCGAGACCCTACAAACTTTTCGAAGCGCAGTGAGATTATCTTTTTTCCCATTCGATATGTCTTGTCATTATTTTTGAAGCTTTTCTATTTTCTTGCATTTATGAATGATTACAATGTATTATTTATTAGAAGTGAGATCAATGTTTGAGAAGATATTCTGAACTCCTTAGCTGCTTCAGATTCGAGATATTCTTGTCCAAGTTTGACTTCATTCACATAAATCATGATTTTTACATGATAGATATAGAATTTTGCTTCTTTGATCTTAGCTTAATGCAGACACACAACATGCACTATCTCAAAAGTTACTGTTTACTTCATTTAAGTGAAAGGAGATGGAGAATCTTATGCTTAATGATCCTTAATAAAGATTAAAGATGGAAAAATGAAAAATTGGATTTGAGCCTTTTGGCATGCATTATGGAAGTAAAGATTGCCTTGGAAAAAAATAAAATAAAGTTATGTATGCAGTATATGAAACTCCAGTAGATATCGTAGGAAGGTTAAGAATACATTGAGTTCTGGACGAAAATATTATGTGTGTAACTGATAAAAAAAAAAAGGATAATGTGTGTATTCTTTTCTCTTTAGGGAATGATATATTGATATTGCCTGTTCTTCCTCTATCTTCCTCTGATCATAGAAAACAGAAATGATAGGTTGTGTTTGTGTTTGTGTTTGGGTTTTGTAATGGAGATATAGACTATAGGCTGAATTGTGATTGTTGTGTGATTTCTCTTTTATGCTGGTGTTTGATTTAATCTGGTGTTAACAGTTTTAGGCTTTGTTGTGAGCTTCAATATGTCGGTGAGTGTTAAAAATGAACTACTGTTTTACTGTTGCATTCTATCTATGGATATTCTTGAAGGAACAGTCGAGTTTTCCTTGAATTTGGTTCAGTAGTTTTTTCTTTGTCATATATTNATCTAACAATAACTAGTTATCAACCATTTTACTTATTGACTCACAGGAAAAACTAAGAAGGTCTCTTACAGTTTGCCAAGACAAATATGAGTCAGCCAAGCTCCAGCAGAATAGCAACTATTCCATGAAGGATTTGGAGTCGTGCGTTGAACTTTCTGTTCAGGACAGCATCAACATGATGCCACATGTTGCTGGGAAATTGAAGTCATATTTGTCACTCGAAGATTAAATCGACTGTTCTTTCATGTTTTGTTCCTATAAAATGCTATCTTTAAGAATATATTTGTTTTCTATATGATATCAAGATAGCACTTGAGTTGTATAGACTCCCAAGTGACTGGAACTCGGAATTAATTTTGCCGCTGGTAGCATGTAATGATTTGAGATCTATCTAATCTTTTGGTATGTTCATAATGTGAAATGCATCAATTGTTGGCATTAACATTCACAGGAAATGAACCAAGAGCGATTTAAGATCGTAAAAAAGAAGCAATTTTGCTAGCCTTTTTATCTGGAGTTCAGGTGAACTGTTTAGATATAAAAAACAGAGCATATATTTATGCTGATGCAACAAAAATAGTAAGGTAAGTTCAATATGAAAATTTTAAGGACTTCAAACTTTTTGAGTCTTAAGAGTGAGAGATTTAGTATGGAAATTTTAATGACAGATCCCATTTATTCAAATGTGCATTCCCTTTTTAGGTGGAAACCGTTATTTGTACACAAATTCTTGTGTGTGTCTAATCATTAAGTTTGGTTAACACATTTGAAATGTAGTAGTTTTGCATGGATTTAGTTAGATCTTTGTTGGTTCTTCCTCAAAGATATTAATATGCTTTTGTGGAGTTGCTTCAACTAAATGATCAATGAAAATTCAACAAAAAACTCACCACAAAGTTGGCACATGATCATTCAAAAGATGAATGAAAACTTCTCCACAATTGGAGCTTCACAGAGCACAAACAGAAGAGTATATATCATTCAATCTTCACACTTCAAGCCAAACTAATATAAACTTAAATGATTCCCCTCGAAAATTTCCTCAAGCCAAAAATACGTGCACCAACGATTCATTAGTCACAATTGCAAAAGTTCAATTTCGTTAACATAGATACGACACCTTCAAATACAACAAAAAACCTCAATCATGACTTTATTCGGAAAAATCAAGAAAACGAGCTCCATATATATCATGACGGCCAAGTATTTCAGTACACCAAACTCGCAACGGATTTACATAGTTTGTCTCTAGCTAAATGCAATTAAGCTTTAGGTGCCAACGTGGCTTCTGGCTCATTCTTATTTTTCTGGGCCTCAAATTTGTCGATAGCAATCTGAAGTTCATCTGTACCCCCAACGGCTCTCATTGTGTAGAAATACACTCCAAATACAAAAGCTGAAAGGCCTCCAGCAACAACCAGATTCTTGGTCTTTGGAGCAAGTGCACGAAATCCAGAAAGCCCAGACATTATACGATAAGTACCCGCAATACTTTGTAACGTGTAATCTGCAAATTTAAGGAAAAAAAATGCAGAGAGAAACTCTTAACTCAGTGCAACAAACATTTCTCAAGGATTTACCGCGTGGAAGAACCGTAGAAAATGTACTACTACCCAATGACAGCATGCACATAGTTAGAAACACAAATTCCAACTAGCAAACTAAGACATTTTACATCTATACCGGAAAACAGTAACAAAAGTGACTTGGAAGATTACATTATGAACTCTAGTTAGGCTAGTGAAATCGCAGCTGAAATGTACTCTCATCGCATCAATTTCAAAAAAAATAAAAAAAGGAAAGAATAAGAAAGAAACTCAGGACAGTTCCATATTTTGGGCCGTTAATAGGTATAGTTATTTTATCCGATAGCCATGCATGATATACTTGTTATAGACTATATTTCTTATAAGGTTCAGATAAACACAACTACAGGCAATGGAATTCACGGGTACAGTGTCAGAAATTAGCGAAATATAATGAAACTACTGCCATTTCCCTTCAAAATTTTACTACACGATCACTTTAATACTTTGGCTAAATCTCCCTCAAAATCCCCAACATAAAACTACAAAAAACTTTCAACATCAATACAAAAATCACAATTCATATAAAAATAAAACCCACCATCACGACTGTAAGAGTCTTTCATTCACAATTTTTATTTTTTCCCAACTAAAGCCCTTCCCATTTGTCCATTGCAAATGGAGCTGGAAGAGTCATTGTTGACAATTCTCCTGGCATAGTGCTAATAATGGACTAAATCAAAATGGCTCAATTAAATTCTAGTGCTTCTTCTATTAGTGAAGTTTCTAGAAAAAAAAAATATATCAAACGGCGCAATGCACCTTGGGTCGCTACGGAAACAGCCTCCTTGTATAATTACAAGGGTAAGGTATGCGTACAACTGACCCCCCAGACCCCAACTTGTTGGGAATATATTGGGTATGTTGTTGTTGTTGTTGTAAAGCCCTTCCCAGAAAAACTAATGTGATATGAAATGGTGTTCATGACAAGTGAAAAACAAAATCTGACATTGTCCGTCTACAAAATCAAAAAGAAAATTCTCCATACAAGAAAAAGGTAAATGATTTCCTGAATCTTTACATTGCAAAACTTTAACAAAGAACTCAACTTTTTGAGCTAAAATCTCAAACCATAAAAAAATCCTCTAAACATTTCCCTTCTCAGAGATGGCCCGTATATCACGTCACTTTTCTGATCAGAAAAAATTAATTAATTAAAAGTGAGAAAAATCATATCGGATGACAAAAGGGACGTCGAAAATGAAACCTGAGAGCTTTTCCTTAAACCCTAGCTTCTCGTTAAGCTTTTTTGCCTTCACCTGAAGTTGCCAAATGAGTTTTTCCAGAGAGCAGGGTTTAAGACAGGGACTTACAGAAGCAAATGGGCCTGGGTTTAATCCCATATTGGGCCTAACATTTTTTTTTACAATATAATTTTTCAATAGCTATAATTTCTTAAAAATTGACCGTGCTCCATTTTGTAATAGTAGTTTTATAAATTGTAGAATCCTTGATCTTAACTTTTAGTATCCTCAACTTGATAGATTTTCAGGCTTATTAAATGATGGATTTCTGTGGAACTAAAAATTGAAAATTAATTGTAATTGCATAAAATTTGGATTCTATTAGGTGATGGATTGTTATGGAATTAAAGAAACAAATCATAACTCCATCAAATTTCAGCAACTTCAATTTTTAATAGTAATGTTGTTAATTTGTTTAATTGTTAGACCGGCATATTTTTTAACAAAAATAAACAATTTAACACTCAAATAACATACTTTTAAATATTACAAGTGTAAAAATATTCCATGTCATATATGAATATGAATTTTATATAAATGTGCGTTTTTATTAAGTATGAAGCCTGACAACGTTGTGCGATGATTTTCAACTAGCTTAGTCATTTATTTTTCTTTTGTTTTCGTTTTCCCTTTTCTTTCTTTCATTTTGGTGACCATGCAATAATTCAGTCCCAAAACTGAAAATTCGTTTTGAAATGTGATCTCCATGAAACGCAATATATTTTTCTGAAATTTGTTAAAAAAATGAAAATCCCAAAATTTGAATTCTTGTAAATGCTTTAGAGAAACGACCATGCTACAATAACATAATAGTTAACATAAATAATCGTTAAAAATTAAAATAGTCGACATAAAGACGGTCAAAAGGAGAAGAAAAGAGAGAGATTGATAATAAAACTAAATGCACAAACCCATCTTCATAAGTTATCGATTGAGCTATAAGCACACGAACACGAACACGAACGAATCGAACTAAACCTACTTTTGCTCGGATAAAAATCACACAAGTCTCTTCCTATATTCATGTTGTCCCGAGGGAACGGAAGAAAACAACAATTTCAGTAATGTCCACAAAAGCAAAAAAATCGCTACTCCAAAAAGACATACATTTCTTTCGCCCAAGGAAAAAAAAAAAGATCGGGCAAAAGGAACTAACGTATTCACGCTTCAGGCTGCATCTTCTCAACTTCTTCCCGTATGGACTGATAAAGATCCGTCGACAAGTATCTCTCCCCAAAGCTCGGAAAAATGACCTACAACAAATGGATTTTTTTCGATTCAAAAGAGTGGAAAGAAAACACGACATGCGAACATAAGGCAAATGCTGGTTTACTTTTCACGTTGACACATAAGAATCTTGGGCAGAGCAAATATGACTCGGAGAAGGTGAAAATTTTTCACTCACTCGCTTTTAAGTCGAAACTATTTCAGGGGTAATGAAACCTATGCAACCACACAAAATGACAAAACAATACATTCTTCTTCTTCTTCAATGAGGTAATAATGATGCATGGTGGATATACGATGTTTTGATTTTGTTTGGTTAATTTTGAAAAAGGTGGTATGGTTAGTTGTTAGTGGAATGTTGAGTTTATATCAAAATAATATTTACAATAAAATAATTAAAGTTGATTTGATGCAAAAGTAGGAGGATAGATGACGTGAAGTGATAGTTATTTAAGATTATGTGAGTGAATAAAATAGTGAATTAAAATTAATGTGATGTGTAAGAATGATTGATTGATATTATTAATTATATTGATTATATCCAGGATAGTGGAGTTGAGTTAAAGTTGAGTTAAAAAAAGTAATTGGTTTAACAATAATTAGTTTTTTTTTTTTTAATTTTTTTTTTTGAGAAAATTGGTATCCAAGCATGCACTTAAGTTTCTAAATAGTGAGCTTATCAAACTTCAGACTCGAAGAAATTAGCAACTGCAAAATCGGGTTTTGGCAGTCATCAGATATGGAAAAAAATTTGCATACCGCTATAAGCTTTCCGGTATTTTCAGGTCTCTTTGCAACCTGAATAGCAGCAGCTGCAGCTCCTCCTGAAGAAATACCCACCTGAAAAAAAAAAAATAAAAAAAAAATCGAAAGTGTGTAAAACAATCAAAAATACACTTCAGCACAGTCAGCACACCAAGATCAAATTTATTTCTCGAACGTTATTTCAAAAGTTACAGCATGGAAAATATGCCAACATGTGCAAGTACTCAATTAATCATGCAAGACAGGCTAGTAATTATGACACATTTTTTTTATAGTATAAAACAGAACAAAGGATTAGAAGATGAACTAACCAGAAGGCCCTCTTGAAGAGCTAACTGTTTTGCGAATTCAACTGCTACATCATTTGTTATCTGATAAGAAAACAAGAGCTACCCAGTTAAGTCCAAAAAAATTGTACTTAAAAATCTGACAAATGCCCAGGTGGAGTTGGGTTTGAACTAATTGAACCACTAAATAGCGTAGAAGTAACAGAAATTCATGGAGGAAAAATCACACCGACTACAAAAACAATGCCACCACCTTTAGAATGCTAAAAAGATATAAATCCAACCTCTATAACTTCTTCCAACAGGCCGTTGTGTAGATTAAAACCTGCTCCAATACCTTAAATTTTGTGAGGGCCTGCGGCTTCAAATTGCAAAATACTAGAAAAAGTACACAAAATTAACTGAAAACTAGCATAGCGAAGACATTAAGGCTATGTTTGGTAACCAAATAAGCTACCTTATAGCTTATAGCTTATTTGGTTAGCTTATAAGCTTCATTTGGCAGGAGGAGCTTTTTTAAAAAGCTCGAGCTTATCTCATAAACTTCTTTGAGTAGCTTTTACCAAACACTTTCATCATATAAGCTAGTTTTTCAGCTATAAGTCATAAGCTACAAGGTCGAAAATCACTTATCAGCTATTAGCTAGCTTAGTTTTACCAAACATAGCCTAATAATCTTCCATCTTACCGGGTTTTCCACCAGACAATACATTGCTTCCAGCTGGTGCCACACCAATAACCTACGGCAACAGGAACAAACACATGACAACATCAAATGACAGAACAAGACAACTGGATTGAACAAACTGAAAAATGCAGGAAATTACCCCTAATAATAAATTAGTTGTCATAAAGGACATTTTCCGAGAGTAGATACGCATGAAATTTCCATCAAAGAAAACGTATTATTACCTTGACGTTACGATTGCATTTTTTCAGATAACGACCAACACCAGCAATGGTTCCACCAGTACCAATGCTAGCAACAAGTATGTCCACCTTGCCTTTTGTATCTTCCCAAATCTCTGGGCCAGTGGTATCAAAGTGAANAATAAAGTACACTATTAGAGAGTGTCAAGAAGAGAATAAATTGATTGAAAAAAAAAATTAAGATAAGATCCATCAGAAAAATACGCAAGTTCATTAACTAACGTGTAAGAACCTTGGGGTTTGCAGGATTCTCGAACTGTTTAAGCATGAATGAATTCGGGGTTTTTTTTCGTATTTCTTCAGCTTTTTGCAAAGCTCCTTGCATGCCTTTGGCAGCATCAGTTAAAACTAGTTCTGCTCCAAATGCTTTCAGAAGAACCCTTCTCTCGATACTAATGGATGCAGGCATTGTCAGGATAAGCTTGTAGCCTTTTGAAGCAGCAACAAATGCAAGGCCAATACCCGTATTTCCACTCGTAGGTTCAACCAATATGGTCTAGTACATTAGAGAAATTACAAATATTATTCATCTAGACCAAAAAATAACTCGGGGAAAAAGATAAGTGGAGTGAGTCATGTCCACTCAAGCATGTACTCCCTCCTATTCTTTTTAAATGTCGTTCTGTGCATTAGCACATAAATTAAGAAATTTTTTTCTTGCCAATCTTATTTAAAGCAAATTACATTAATTAATTTCTTTCTTTTCCGCTTTTTTTTTTTTTTTTTTCTTTTAAGATAGAAAACTCATCGTCTTCCACAACTTTCCTCCCAAAACGTGTAGTGTATTAATTAAATGAGGGCAACAATGGAAAAAAATGTATAAAAGAACCAAAATGCCATTTATTTGATTAATGATCAATAACGCCAAAATGACAAATAAAAAGAATAGGAGGGAGTAACAATTAACATAGGCTTTAGGTAAGACTAGTTTCAGGCAAGAAATACAACAAAACCAGTGGAAGATAATGATGAAATGAACATGATTACGTGACACCATTATAGGTTCAGAAGGATCAAACTGTAAAGTTAAATGAAGATAAAAGTCAACTGATCAAGTCATAGAATTCTCAAATATTTGGCCAGACTGGAAAAAAAAAAGTTGACATCTTACCTTTCCTGGAGTTATACGCCCTTTTTCCTCAGCATAAGAAATCATACGATAACCTATCCTGAAATCAAAATTCCATCATGAATAATCCGAACATGACAACAGTTCACCATAATATAGACAGTTCTTCAAAAAATTATATGAACGTAGAACATCTCCAAAAAGCAATTGCAAACACCTTTTATCTCAATACAGATTTCCTAACGAAATATATTCAATAAATTTTCAAGTGAAAAACAGGAAAACTCTCACCTATCTTTGACACTGCAACATGGCTCCATGAATTCAAGCTTTGCAGCTATATTTGCGACACAACCTTTTACGATATTATTCAGGTAAACCATTGGTGTCTTCCCAATAAGCTGTTAGAGAAAAACAAAGGTTCAAAAGAAAAAAAAATGAACAAAAGGATAAAATAGAATCATTGCAAACCAGACCATTAAACATAAATGATACACCAACATAGTGAGAAAGAATGGACTATACGATTTTTGATCTATTATCCTGAATCATATACATAACTGCTGCAAGGATGCAACGAACTTGGAGAACGTATCGACATCCATTACAGATGAGCATCGAACTATTTCAGTAAAATCTAAATCAAGATGCATAGAATTTTATCTTTTTATTTCATACATGCATCCAATCCTCGTTATATTTTTCTACTCACTACTTTAATCCAGGAAAAACTAAATTAAAGATGATCGATATACAAAAAATTGCAACTGACCATTGTGAATCCATGACCAATTCATACAATAATCTTACTCACGATAGGAGCATTCTAATAATGAAAAAGAAAAATCCATAATTACTGATGAAACAGACAGATAATTGTTTCTTCACCAACTTTCCCCATTACATCGTTTTTGACTATAACACTCTTAGCCAACCATACTTTTTCAATATATAAGCACTCTTAAAAGCGAAATGTCATACTCTAAAAAATAACATAAATAAAAATGTCATTTCATGGCATAAGTACGATTTTTTGTTAAATAAATATTTGACGAGCGCCTAACACAATAATTTGTATACATTAATTTAAAGCCCTCTTCTTTTCCAAGCTTAATACCCCCTGTGTAGTAATTCATGATCATTAAATCATTCCCAGAAACAAAAAGAAAAATAAGAAAAGGAAAAGAGAAGGCTCGGTGCAGGTCTGAATACCAAAAGGTTTAACTTTTTAAGCTAATGCTCATCTTTTGGAAGCTTGAATTTCGAACATACCCAAATAATCTTCCTGAAGAAAAAGGAATCAGTTTGTACACAGACTTACACAATCTACGATTCCATTGCTAAACAGAGATAAGATTACAGCATATCAATCCACGAGTTTTCCGGACTCAAAAGAGATGCGAATTAGAGCCCCGCACCTGAGTAACATCTTCGGCGATGTTGAGGCCCTCAGTCTCCGTCGGCACGTCGAGAAACACCGCTTTACACACAATCCCACAGCCAATACCGCGAAATTTCCGGCCGACGGCACCTTCGCCGGCGATTGTTATAGCGTTGCCGGGATTCCCGGACGGAATACGGCAGCGCTTGGCAATGGGAAACTCCGGAGAGAATAGGACCGATTTGTTGGCCGCGCACACGGAGGTCAAGGGCTTGTTCACTAGCAACGCCATTGTTTTGCCGTTTGCACCCCTATGGACCTCACTCGCTTACTTGAGTTGTACAGTGTATACTGCAGACTGTGAAAATTATCCTCAGAAAAT